GTCTCCCTCTGTCATTTGCTTAAAGAGGCAAACTTGAATTTTCTAAGCCATTCACTATCTCTTGAAGCATTTCTCAATAATTATTTCAAATGGCCCAAGGGTAAAATTTTTGTCAATGTTCTTACTATAGCCATAACAATACTCAGCTGTCACCTTAACAATTTTATGTACTGCAAAATTTAATGGAAAATGTGCCACTTTAGTGAAACCAAAGAAACCTGAAAATGGGATACAGAAAATTACACTGTTACTATGGTAATGGCATCTCGCTGGCAGTTGAAGAAAATCATTTAACAAAGTTATAAAAACCATAGTAAATATTGGACAGCTTTATGGAAATGTAATAAACTGAAGTCATATTTCAAAAAGCACTAAAACTCATTTTGCATTTATGGCACACAGCAAAATTATAATGCAGATGAGGACTAAATGACCTATAAATGTTAAACACATAGTTAAGCGTGGAATATGTCAGCCAGAGTCTGTGGCTTTTCTGTGCAGTACGTTCAAATTAGATACAAAAGTGTTGAGTAATCCTTACCTTTTTCTAAGCTATGTCTACTTTGGTCCCTTCTTGGGTCTGAAAGTAGAGCAGAGCCCATACCTATTTACTTGCAGAAAATCAGGTAAAATACAGTGTGGAACGGGTAAGCCTTTGTCCTTGAATATGAATTTACTGATAGCACTGTTAGCATGTCACAGTTACTGCTCAGCCCTACCCAAAATGTAATTGCATTTTGTGTTGCATACGTGAGGAAATCATGATTTTAATCACAAAACATAGCTTCTTGTTTTGCACTTTTTAGACACCCCTGTCAGAAGCTGAGCTCCAAGGTGTTTTGAATACCATGTCCTAGGATCTAAATGTTCTTTAACTTGTAGGAAGCATTTTCTCCCACAGAGAAACAGGTTTCACCCCAGCAGCTGGTCCAGGTTTGTTACAGAGAGACGCTGAAAGAGACAGGGTTTTTGCAGTGTGCAAAGACAAGGCATCTCCAGCTGAGAACCTGAAGGTGAATGTGCACATTTTGTTTCTTGCCATGTAACTGGGGAAGCTGCTTCATGATAATCATGGGGGATATACTGCATATTCATAAGATGGACAAACAACAAAGTGAATCGGGCAATCAGTTATCCCAGTCTCAAGTGTAAAACACAGAATTGACTGATGGCTTTCAATGAGTCAGCCAATGAACGAAGGCTGAGCCATCCGTCTAAGAACTTCGTGTTGTCAAACCTCAGGCACGATATTTATTTTCCACGATCCTTCTTCGTAGGGTTGGCAAGATTATCTCACAAGTGGATTTAAATGTTTCCAGGCTCTGTGTTTTGATTCCTATAATCCAAGAGTTCTTAGTTGCTCTGGCTCCAATTTCTCATGGCAACATTTCATGCACCTAACTTCTAGCACTGGCTGCCCCTTTCCAGGTCTCTAGCGACATCCCCCCATGTATACAGTGTTCCTACTGCTTCCTTTAGGACGCTGGTGCCACTTATACTTGCTTAAAGGGACTTCTTGCATGGCAAGATTTGAGAGTAGCACTTCTGGAAGAGCATTCTTAGATACAGTTATTGGTTCACAGGTGGCAAGTAAGGGAAAAGATGCAATAAAATTAAATATAAGATGTTCTGGGTGTTTTGCCTTCCATTAGAATATTAAATTAGAAATGAGTAGTGGTGGATAAAGCTGTGTAAGAATTTTTTATATGCCAGGCACTAAACATTTTACATGGATCATTTCATTTAATCTTCATGAGCTTTACGGTAGGGGTTGTCCTTCCCAGATTTTTAGAAGAGCAAGGAGATAAAAAGAATGACTTGTTAAGGTCCTCTAACAACTAGTTGGTAATATCAGGACTCAAACGTCAGTCTATGTGAACCTAAATTCCATACTTTAAGCCATAACACCATGTTAAAGTATATCTAGACTGGGCATAGCTCCATATAGAAATCCCTTTAATGGAAATAAAGAGCATATAATGAGCACTCATCATAGACTCAAAACTTAGAACATCTCTGCACCACTGATTCTCAGGACAGCTGTGCAGTACACATGCAACTGTCTTTAGGGACACTTTCGGAAGAGTGATACAAGGCCACAACAGAGATGAGAATTGCTATCTAGTCCAACACAGTACCAGGAAACAAAAAGTGAACCATGAGATGGGAAATAAAATGATTGATAACAGTGGGAAAGAAGTATAAATCAAGGCAGGGATAACATAAATGATAAAATATTGAGTATGGCAAAGTCAGAATTCTGGCTGAGGAGTAGGTTTTGTTTTGGGTCAGGATCAGTACTTTAAAGGAATGTTGACAGACAAAAAAGAAAGAAAGAAGGAAGGAGAAAAAGGGAGGTAGGGGAATGTTATGGTTTGTGCCTGAACGTCCCCCCAAAGCCTCATGCAGTCACGGTTGCGGGGGTGGTGTCCAGAGATTGTTGAATCTACAGTTTGTGATTGATTCATGGTCCAATGCTGGGATTGAGGTGTGAATGCTACACCCGCCCTGGGGCTGGTATCCTGCATGCAGTATAAGGGACAGAAAGAGGCTTTGTCTGTCTATCTTTCTGTCTCTCTCGTTGCTTTTGCTGCCTTCTGCCACCATGAATTGTTGCCCCTCTGCCATGTGCCACTCTGCCTTGGACCCAGGCGATTATGGACTGAAACCTCTACAAGATACGAGCTAAACAAACCTTTCCCCCTTTAACTCTGCATGTTGGATATTTTGTCTTAGCAACAAGAAAAGAAACTAGACAGGGAAGAAGGGGAGATAGAAAGAGAGAAAGAAAAATATATTACATGTGATGTATTCTCATTATGAAGGATTTACAAAAGGCAGGGAAATTTAATAAAAGAAATATGAAGAAATTTACCATTGCTCCCACAGGGTGAGCTTTTCACTGCTGTGACCAAATCCCTGCCGAAATAGCTTAAGAAAGGAAAGGTTTGTTTTGGCATATGGTGTCGGGAGCTTCATTCTGTGCTCCGCTGGCTGTTGCTTTTAGACCTGTGGCGAGGCAGGGACATTAGGGTGGAAGGGCATATTGGAGGGAATCTTACTTACCTCATGGCAACCAGGAAGCAGGGTGCATCTGAGGGATGGGCCAGGAACAAGAGATATCCTTACAGGTTACAACCCCACTGACCTGCTTCCTCTGAGTAGGACTTGCCTCCTAACATCGCATTCAAAGGATTCATCCTCAACGAAGTTAGTACACCATGATTCAATCACTTCGCAAAAACCCATCAGCTGACAACCAAGCCTTCAACACAGTGAGCATTCTAGCTAACATCTCCAATCTTTGATGCAATAAATTCCTTTAAGTCTTGGATACCAACCATAACATCCACCTTCTATAGAATACCACCCATAACACTTTGGTATATTTCTGTTAGTTTTTTCTCTAGACTTGAATACTTTTACACTGATGCCCCAAACTATACACAGTAGGCTCCCCTTATCTGTGGAGGATACATTGTAAGACCCCTCCAAGGATGCCAGAAACCACAGATAGTAGTACCACAGTTTATATGCATTATGTTTTTTCTATGTATACCTGTACATACACAGATTTAATGCCTTCCCATCTTTACTAAGTCGTTCTCAAGCACCGTGGCTGAATGGTTTTAATTTGAGGCATGATGCCAAAACTAGCATGAATTTCATTTTCTTTTGCATAATTGCACAGATAGAAGATTCTTTCTGTCCACAGATCTTTGCAGACTGAGCATATGGTCTTTTCTTTATTGAGCATTTTTGTCATATCAGAGAAGCACTTTATGGTTTCCTTTTGGCATATTTGAACTGCAGGCATCATTATTCTTGTGCTTCAGGGTCACCTTTAAGTATAGTAATAAATAATGAATAAGGGTCACTTGAACACAAGCTCTGAGATGCCATGATTTGGTAACCAAGGTGGCTACTAAGTGATGAATGAGTAGGTAGCATATACAGCATGGATACATTAGACAAAGGAATGATGTCCCTCCTGGGTGGGATGAAGTAGGACAATGTGAGATTTCATCACACTACTCAGAGTGACACCCAGTTTAAAGCATCTACACTTCTTATTCCTGGAATTTTCCATCTAATATTTTCAGACTGCAACTGATTGAAAGTGTGGGTAATTGAAACCAAACAAAAAACAAAAGCTGAGAATAAGGGTGACTACTGTTCATCAAAAATAATGTGTAAAATATAGATATGGTTTGAACAGTAAGTGTACAATGAGCTTCTGAGCAACCAGAGCTGGTGGATTTAAATTAAATTATGTCATGTAAACACTGCTCCTCTTCACCACTTCCTGTCACCTGTTCTGAGGTCCATGTGCCCCTTCTTGAGAGTCACTTCCATTGCTGTCTCCTCCTGCCTCACTTCACCAAAAAGGGCTGACTTTTGATAATGATTTTCCTACCTTTCTGAATATTTTACTGGTTAGAAGGGCATTCAGAAATAGTTGCACCTGTTTCGAGTATTTATGTAAATATGATAACACTGAACTCTTGTGACAGGCTTGTTTTTCTCAACATGCTGTTGTCGGTAGGAGTTGTTTATGGTGGTGTGCGAAGCCCTAGTAGAGCCTAATGTTATTTTATCCATTTATTTCAGTAATTTTAGATATGAGAGAAAACCATTTTCTATCATATTTGAGGCAAATGTGTTTGTTTAGTCTTTAAAAATTCCTTGTAATTTTGGTTATACTTTAACCTACAGATATTTTAAACAAGCTCACATGGGTAATACCCATTGATCTATTTCCTTTATGATTTTGTTCATTCCTTTGAAACTCAGACGGTCTTCCCCCTCTCAGTTGTAGATAAATATTTGCTCTTATTTAATCTCTTCCATGCTTTGATTCCTCTTTTTTTTTTTTTTTTTTCTAAAAACCTTTAGCACCTTAACCCACCTGTATTTATTTTGGTTTATGATCTAATTTGACATCTAGATTGATTTTCTCTCCAAATAGTTAACTATTTCTCAAGTAATTCTTTCCCACACCTACTTGTGCTGCTCTTCAGTATAGCAGGGAGAAGACAGAGCTGGATGTGTGGATGAAAGGTATAGTGGTGCACAGAACGGGAGTGATTTAGGGTCCAGGAGAGTTAAGGGGATTTCTTAGAGAAGCTGATAATTGGACTTCTTTAAGATGAATGGGAGCCTGCCAGGGAAGCGGTGGGGGAGGGAGAGCCACCGCAAACATTTCAGGCACAAGGTAGCTTGTGGTTATAATCTTGAGCTCTGGAATCAAACCAGTCCAGTTCTTCAGCTTGTTATCTCTATCATATGCAGCAATTTACTTAACTTTTATGAACCTGTTTCACTTTAATGAATGCGATTTCTTGTCTATAAAGCGAGAATAGATCAATTCTGCTCCATGGATTATTATAAACAGTAAGATAATGCATATAAAGTACTGAACATGATACTCAGTAGATACCATGTGCTTAATAAATACTCCTAATATTATATAAATTTGAGACACCTTGGTTTGCTCACTCTTCTGTCCTAGCCTTCTATATCCACTGTCTTAGAAGTTGATTAGGACTTCCAAGATTGCCAAACTCATGCCTTCAGCCTCTGACATAACACTAGGTAAAAGAGATTTTAATTTTACTTTCCTTAGGAACATTCAAAAACAGAGACACTGTGTCCCTCCGTAAGTGAGTCCATCCTTCAATAGGCCTTGATAGGTAAGGTCTTATGTAGCATCTTCTTTATTCCTAAGACAACCTCCTATGGGGTTCCTGGGGCAAACTGTGCTAGTTGTCCCTAATATGCATTTTCTCTTCTTTGTAACAGAACCTACAGTTTGTAGCTGGGCATTTGGCTGTCTGGAATTAAGATTACATTTCCCAACTTCTCTTTTGACAAGGTATTGACTGACTAATGGAATGTTAGCAGAAGTATCATGTGAAATTTCTAACATCTATTCTTAAAAAGAAAGAACAGGCTTTATTTTTTTTTTACCACTAGATAGAGTGCAGACATGATTTCTGGAGCTAAAGCAGCCATTTTGTATAGAGAATAGTTCTTTCTAATAATAGGGGGCTGGGGAGATGGCTCAGCAGCCCAGTGCGTGCTTGGCAAGTGCAAAGTACTTAGTTTGATTCCTGGTAGCAAAAGAAAGAAAGAAAGAATAATGATAGGAAAGAATTATTAGATTTGTCCTTCACCTTTACTGTTAAGCTCTGGGGAGTTCTCTGCTTTAGCCTTTTCAGCCAGATTGGTTTTTCCTGATTTTCAGTGTTTTCTTTTGGCTTCCTGAAATATTTCAGTGTCCTCCTTAGGCATTCCCCAGGCTAAGCTTAATTCTATATAGAATAGAAAACTGTTGGTACATCCTTTGGTTACATTAGTTATATTTCTTAATTCCATAGTCATGGTATATCATTCCATTTTTTCTCAAATGAGCACTATGGTTGTTAAGAATGTAAGTGTATAGTTTCATCTTGTTTACTTCAACTCGTGTGCCTTCAGAATCAATTAATTATGTCCTGGCCTGGAGAATCACCCACCACTTGGCTCCTTGCAGGTATACAAGAAGCAGAGAATAATATTATTGGAAGAAGGCCCTGAAAGGGTTGTAGTACATAGGGTTATTATAATCAATAATAAGATAATACATGGAAAATACTAGAAAGAGTGGATGGTTCTCTTATTATATCTGGGTATTTAACTCAGAGATTTTTTAAAAAAGCATCTGCAAATCAATGTCTTATTGTCGAAACAACAGATATTTATGTTTTCGTTTTGGTAAGAATTGCAGTTCAGAAGTGGGTTTAGGCACAGATATTAAATAGGAAGTAAATAGTACCTTGGAGGGGTAATCATTCTCCTACTTATTGCTTCTCACAGGTTAGGTGAATCACAGCTTCTGTTATGCTGGATTGAGTTTGCATGACTGGGGTTTGGGTTTTGCTTGCCTATTCCCTACTCTTTTTCTAGATTAAATTGTTACATGCTCCTGGATAGGATTTTTAAAAAGGTTGGAGTAAACACTGGTTCATATGAGCAATATATGAAAAAATGATGAAGCAGCATAGTGGTATGTAGGTGTAAGATTTTGAACTTTGTAGTCAGAAATACGTGACTCAAAGTCCACTTCTATACCCTGACCTTAGATAACCTGTTTGACAGTTCTGAGTCTTCTGAGTCTTACTGTGCTTATCTATAAATGGAAAAGTGATATTGTCTCCCTATTTTGTTCTGATTATTTTTCTTTATTTCAGGATTTCTAAATTTCCAGATTAGAGGTAACCTACAAACAACTGGCCACGTAGAGCCCACTGATTGTATTGTACCTGAGCACTGGAAACACCCATACTTGTTGAATAAAGAAGTATAACTGGGAATGGTGGTGTAACCCCAGAACTCTAGGAGGCTGAGGCAGGATAATCCAAAATTCAAGCCCAGTGAAACCCTGTCTCAAAAAAAAATTAAAAAGGGAGGGCTGGTATATAGCTCATTGAGAAGGCCCTGGGTTAATCCCTATACTGTGAAAAAATAAAGTGAAAAATATGTGTACACATCTCTATTTACTTTTTGCAATTCCTATTTACTTTCTTAGGCTCCACTTTCCAAAAAACAAATGCAGTGGGCTGCTGCTGAACAGCAGTGTTGGCATGAAAGGAGTGAGGGACAGACCGACGGATTGGGATGAGGTGAGACAGGATGGAGGATGTGTGGTGTGGGATGTGTGGGCGTGCTTGTGTGAATGGAAAAGTCCCAAGCCCATCAAAGGCTGCTGGCTTGCTTTGGTATTTCACTCACATAGAGAAATATAATCAGAGCGCTCTGTTTGGGTTATGACTTTTAGAAACTATCATCCTATTTCAGGTATCAGGTGGTTTATAGTTTTGACATTGGCTTTCCCCCATTGAGAGATATAAACCCTCTCAGGTGTGGCATTACAGCATTTACACTTTCACTCATGATTCCGAGCCGGGAAACAATCCGGAGGAATTAAATAGACCCAACAGACTGTGCATGAAGATGACCTCCTCTTTGGAAAGCAAAGGCAGGGAACTCCCTCTCCCAAACTGATGGATTGACATTCCCGCTGCGGTCGCCCTCACGGAAGAATCTGTGTGACTGGCTGCCGGCGGCTACTTCACATAAACCTGCGTGGAGATGATTTCCTTGATCACACATCTGCTAGATTCAGCATCTGCAAACCACAAGGCATTCACTGTGTTTAAAGCACACAGATTTCATTTAGATACAAATTGAATGGAATGTAGAGCATTACTCTAGCTCCATACTAATTAATATTAGGAAGCCTTGATTCTACGTGGAACCTTTTCTCTCTCTCTAACTAGATGGAAGGAGATAATGTACAAGAAAGGAAATTTTGTTTCCAGGCAAAGTGCTAAGCCCACATGGAGATAATAATTTATTGATTTATTTGGCTCTCTAAATTAACCAGCAACTTGGACACAGGAGCAAAGGGCAGTTGGAAAACGATTTTTAAGCTTTAGTTTGACAATCATGTGATTCTTTTGTTGATACTTGTTTCCTTTGCATTATCTTTGGACCAAATTGAACTATCTCATCTGATTTCATAGAGTTTCTATTTTCACTGCTTCTATAGGTTGGCTTAGACTTTAAATTTCTTTTTTTTTTAAAAGAAATATTTATTTATTTTATTTTTTTGAGACAAGGTCTTGCTATGTAGCTGGGCTGGACTCATTATGTAGTCCAAGTTGGCCTTGAACTCATGGTGATCCTCCTGCCTCAGCTTCCTGAGTGCTGGGATTGTAGGGTGCATTACCACATCCAGAAACTTTAAAGTTCTGTAGTATGAGATAACCACCCTATCTGAAGGTGCAGATGATGGGTGGTGGTGTGTCTAAAAAAGGAAGGGTCTATTTCCCATGGCTTTCCTTGAATCATTTGATCATAGTTCAGAAATTTATGTGCTGTGCTGTCTGCTCTCATAGCTAAAGAAATTAAGCTCGTTTAAAAATTTTAAATATGCCTCAGATTTAAAATGTAAAAATGTAGAAATGGTAATAATACATCTCATGGAATTGTTGAAATTCAAATGTTGATTGAGTTATTGTATTATGATTGATCAGTAAATGATATTCAATCATTTATTGCAATGATTAAAACTTGTCTTGCAAATAATCAGGACTAACCAGACATGGTTCCAGGTTGAGCATTAACCTCTTGGAACACTTGTTTGTGCTCAGAATTTTTAGTGAGTCATTCCTGGCTTGAGCCAAGTGTGGGTCCCATATAGGAACTGTACTGCAAATTGAACCAGCAGTTCCATTAAAACACTTGGCCCAGGTTGCTTTTCGTTGGAGATCATTCATAATGGAGCTATGCAACAGCAAAAGACTGGCTTTTCCCACTACTCTGGTGACCACAACGATGACACCTGAAGGTTTCGAAGTGCTACTGGTGGGGCTAGCAGTGACTTCAGGGCGTACAGCATAGCAGCCACACCCATTGGAGCAAAGCAAGATTGGATGACTTATTCAAGGGCAAGGTTTAGATTACATAAAAATCCATTTTCGACAAAGCACGTGTTTTCTGTTAGACCATGCTCTCTTTTTGTGGCCAAAGTCACTTTTTTTATATGTATGCTTCCTGTAACTCATAAAGCAGTGAAAATGATTTGTATGCAGTGGATCTGGCAGCACATAGGCCAGAAGTTGCTGGCAGACATTGTTTCATGTGGAGCTTGAGATCGAAATCAAGACAAAGGAGCACTGAAGGAGGAGAAGGAAAGACTGGGACTTGCTGACCATATTTGAGCACTAACTTAGTTCTGCTTTTGAACTGTTCAGGTACAGTACTGAGACAGTGTTGTCCGATGAGCTGCATTTTCTTTCTAGTAATTGAAAATTACTGTAATGTTAGAGCAGGAGAATGTTGTAGGCTTTGATTTCAGCAAAATATTTGACAAAATATGTTAAATAGGTTCATGGACAACAAAGCGAATTGTGGATTATTTAATAGGTACTCAAATCATCTTCATGGAGACATCAGTGTAGAAAAGTACTTTTTGAATATTTCACAAACTTTATCAATGCCTTAGAAGAAAATATAGATGAGAAAATATAAACTTTTATATATTTTGAAGACAGTCCTTGAACACTGGATACCCAAATTCTAGATAGAACAGGAAACACTGGATCCAGCATAATTATGGATAATACAAAGGAAAAATACGAGGGTATCCAGGTCAGTGTTAGAAATCGGAGAATAGGTTACAGAATATCCGAGACCAGAGAGGCAAGCTGGAGGACAAGGCGTCCAAGCCAATAAATACTGGGAGGCAGTATTTGCATATAAACCACTCAGATGTAGGTTCAAATCCTACCCTTGTCAATGAGTAACTGAGTGACTTCAGGAAAATTACTTAATTCTGAGCCTATATTTCTGCTATCAAAATGCAGGTAAAGAAACCTACCAACTGGGCTGCTGAGTTGGGTAAACTATGTGAAGTGCTAGGCGCATAGCGGATATTCAGTGCCTATGATTTGCTGTAGAGCATGGTATTTACTAGGAGTTGGCTAATAATTCACTCGGAGCTAAAACTTTTGGCATCTCTAGGGTGCTGTGATGAAAACAGAGGGTGCTTAGCAGAAGAATGATTGAGTGGCATACTCTTTGCCAAAGAACAATTTAGCCAGAAATAGTTTCATCGATATTATCTTGTTTTATGTATTGATGTGCCTAAGAGTGCTATTTCCTGGTCGCAAAGTTTTGGAACATTGGTAATTCTGGTGCCTACTTTTCAGCTGACTGATTTTTGCATTGATTTTTTTTTTTCTTTTTCCTTCTTTTTTGACTTGATTTTTTAGAATGAAAAGCTAGGATAACCTCAATGTTACTATTTCAATTGTTTACCATTTTAAAG